CTAATAAACATGCAAGGCTGCTGGGAGAGAGAGCTCACTCCTTGCTTAAACCTTCACCCATGACTCTTCGTCATTTTCCTCCGCACCTGGTGGGCTGGTTCCCCGACAAATGGTGCCTCGTGTGATTGCCTGAACGGCTTCCAGGACGCGTGCTGTCAAAGACGCTCCTCCCTGCTACTCACCCGCCCGGCTGTGGCTCAAGGCGCCCTCTCATCTTCGGATCCCCGGTGAGTAGCTATTTTTCTATTTTTATCATGGGTTCTGCGCTCTCCAACCCTCAGAAACAATTTTTAAAAGACATGCAGCACCTCCTTCGGGAAAATAAACAGCAAGTACCTGAAGGTGATCTAATCGCATTGATTCTGGCCATAGATGAACATTGTCCATGGTTCCCTGAGGATGGGACATGGGAAATTCCAGACTGGGACAAAATTGGCGACCACTTTCATGGCCATGGCCGCATAAATCTTCACATCCTCAGTGCCTGGGCTAAAGTCCGTGGCTGCATGGCAACTCTTACGCCCAAAAACATCCTCTTGGCTTCGTTGCAACCACAACAAGAAACAGTCCTGAATATGCCTTTCATATATCCGGCTGCACCGCTTCAACCACCACCTTTTACTCCGCCACGACCACCAGATTATCAGCCTCCGCCGACGCCACTGGGGACTGCAATTAAAAAGCAAGCAGCCCCCCTCTTAGGTTTTTCATCTGGCACGCCAGTGGCTAAAGTCATACTGCTCCCTGCGGATGCCACAACTCCTACAAATCCCCCCTTAATTGCTGCTGCAATGCCTCTCACAGCTCAGCGCCCTACATTAAAAATGACACTGGGTGGACGTGAGGTAGAGGGGGTTCTGGATACAGGGGCAGATGTTACTGTGATTGCTAAACAAGACTGGCCTCCCGAATGGCCCACAAAGGCAGCTGCGCAGGTTTTGGGTGTCGGGGAGAAGCGCCAGCCTGTCAAAGCCTCCACCCAGTTGATATCCTTGTGGCTGCGAAGCACATATCAATGGAATTATTAAAAGACCTTACATCTGCCCTCACAGATTTTGGACTGTGTATTGCCCCAGATAAGGTTCAGCAAACTTTGCCTATGTTATATCTTGGACATAAATTGACACAACAAGCTGCTATTCTGGTTGTTCCCCAATTGTCTTTTCCTGCCCGCCTACGGCTGGTTGACCTTCAACAACTTTTGGGACACCTGAATTGGATTAAGAATTACCTTAATCTGCCTACTAGCACCTTGTCACCATTGTTTTCTGCCTTACAAGGACACAAACTACCCGGAGAAGTCATCCCAGTTACAGAAGAAATGCTACAAGCCTTACAACAGGTTAATGCTTTATTAAGAGACCGAATGGTGGATCGCATAGACACTCTGCACAATGTGCAGTTATCCTTGGCAATTTTTTCCACACCTTTGCTGCCTACAGCCATTCTCTACTCACAGAAATCGGCTGCCCCTCGGGTGTCAACATTGTGGAATGGATCCACCTTCCGCATACTCCACCGCGTAACATTTATTCCTCTCCAGCGGCTGTAATGGATTTGGTAATTAAAGGGCGCGCTCGAGCAAAAGCCCTCTCTGGACTGGACGTTGAAAAAATTTACCTGCCTTTTTCACTCACAGAAACACAACACCTGATTTCCACCTCCATGGCTACTCAAGCAGCACTTGTGGATTTTTTGGGAACCATCACACATAATCCCCCCTCTGATCCACGCTTGGCTTTTCTTTCTCAAACTGTCTATACTTTAAAAACTGCTCTCTCTCCGACCCCCATCCCCTCTGCCCTTACCCTTTTCACTGATGGGTCAAAAACGCGGGGGGTGGTGGCATGGGAGGAGGGTGGAAAATGGAAAACTGAATTTACTGAGCAACAGAGGTCCGCCCAGCGGGCTGAACTTGCTGCTGTAATCCTTGCCTTTCAACTCTTTCCTGACAAACCTTTTAATTTGCTTGTTGATACACAATATGTGTATCGCCTTCTGTCTTCCCTGCCTGTTTCTTATATCACGCCTGCGTTAGATGCTGATTTGTTTGTTCTTTTTTTCTACCTTGCAGTATCTTATTCAAGAACGCCGTCATCCTTTTTATGTTGCACACCTTCGTTCCCACACCAATCACCCAGGGTTTTTGGCTCAGGGAAATGCCGTGGCAGACGCTGCACTGCGATCTGAAGTGTTTTCCTTGTTTTCTGACCCTATTCTCTCTCATTCTACCTTTCACCAGCCTGCTAAAGTTTTGGCAAAAATGTTTAAAATCCCTATTGCACAGGCACGAGACATTGTCTCTCAATGTCCTACCTGTTCTAAGGCTCCAACCATGATTCCTTTTGATGCGGTGAACCCTAGGGGTACGTCCCCTCTTGCGGTTTGGCAGATGGATGTCACTCACACCCCTCTGCTCGCCCCATTTTCAAAAGTTCACCTGACAGTGGACACCTCATCTGGATTTATCTGGGCCACCCCATTGAAGGGTGAGACCGCTCGTCACGTCATTCAGCACACCCTGCGCTGTTTTGCTGTGATGGGTAAGCCACAAAGCATTAAAACGGATAATGGCCCAGCCTATATTTCCTCTCAGTTTTCATCCTTTTGTGATTTATGGAATGTGAAATTAATCCATGGTTTGCCTTTCAATTCAACAGGACAGGCGATTGTGGAGAGGGCGCACTTGACCTTCAAGACTCTGCTGTCCAAACAACTTGGAGGTCGAAATGCCCCCTCCGCCGAGATTCCTTCAATTGTGCATACTGTTTTATTCACTCTTAACCATCTTTTGTATCCCCATAATAGGGAATATACACCGGCTGAGATTCATTTTCGAAAAGCAGAGCCTTTGGCTCGGCCTCTTGTGTCTTACAGACAACTACCTGATCCAACATGGCATGGTCCTGTGCCACTCATCTCCTGGGGACGCGGCTACGCGGCAGTGGACCTGGATGGACGGCCTACCTGGTTACCAGCGCGCTGTGTGCGACCCTGGCGAGCTTCTGCCTCGGAAGTGAAAGCAGCAACGAGCCATACTTCACCCTCTCTGGCGGACGTCGCCTTCCTGCAGCCTGGGTCACTGTCGCGCTGCCTAACCGCAAAACCACCAGTCACAGACTGGTGACTGGGAGCGGCCACCGAGATCACATAACACCGGTCTTGAAAGACCTACATTGGCTCCCAGTACGTTTCCGAGCACCATTCAAAGTGTCGGTGCTGACCTTTAAAGCCCTAAACGGCCTCGGCCCAGTATACCTGAAGGAACGTCTCCACCCCCATCGTTCAGCCTGGACACTGAGGTCCAACTTTGAGGGCCTTCTGGCGGTTCCCTCACTGTGAGAAGTGAGGTTACAGGGACCAGGCAGAGGGCCTTCTCGGTAGTGGTGCCTCCCTGTGGAACGCCCTCCCATCCAATGTTAAGGAAATAAACAACTATCTGACTTTTAGAAGATATCTGAAGGCAGCCGTGTTTAGGGAAGTTTTTAATGTTTGATGTTTTGTTTTGTTTTGTTTTGTTTTGTTTTTAATATCCTGTTGGAAGCTGCCCAGAGTGGCTGGGGAGACCGGCCAGATGGGCGGGGTATAAGTAATAAATTATTATTATTATTATTAGTAGTAGTAGTAGTAGTAGTAGTATTAAAACCAACAACCAGTCTCTCGTTCCTATTGTTTTTATTATGAAACGAGCACAGCATTTTTTGACCTTCCGAATGTGACTCCTCCTCACACATCAGAAAATACACATTTGTTTTCTGCTTTAAGACAGTTTCCAAGAAGTTGGTTAGAAATCATCTTCCTGATTAAAGGAAGGCATAGACTTATTGGTATGCTAGTTTCTGAGATGTAATGTGACAGGAAGTCGATGTAGGCTGCAAATGAATCTGATAAATTAGCCTTGTACTGTCTGGTGGTCTTAACCACGCGAGGCGAGAGATTCAAAGCCTTATGCACACATTCTAATTCTCTCTTTTGAAAACCTGACCAATTTTTATGCACGTTAATAATGCATGTTAGTAACTCATTCTCAAATTACCCCCCTTAATATCAAATTGCCCCCCTGTGGGGCATGGGGCCCATGATAGGAACCACAGCCGTAGATGTTTCAAAATCCTGCTCCCGGCGTATTAATCATTAATTCAAGGAAATGTTTATCTTTCTGATTATCATCAAATATTCTGAGCAGCTCAGCTTTTAATATTCATATAGGAGAACCAGCATGCCTCTCCATGGCCACTGCTGCTGGCCTCCTCCCTTGGGCAGCTTGCAGAGGCTGCTGGAGAGCAGGGGAGGGGAGGCTGTGGCCACTGAAGCCCAGCCCTGCATGACATGCCAAATCTGAGGTTCAGGGGAGTGAGAAATGTCCCCATTTTCATATGAGGAATGTTGGAGGGTATGCTATCACATACCCTCTGCCATTTTTCCGATGAAAATAGGGACATGATATTCAATCATGAATATCATCATCATCATCATTTTATTATTTATACCCCTCCCATCTGACTGGGCTGCCACTCTGGGCAGCTACTGACATATATAAAGACATAACCTTTAAAGCCCTATATGGCCTAGGACCCTCGTACCTACGGGACCGCCTCTCCTGGTATGTCCCACGGAGGACCTTACGGTCTTCAAACAAAAGCATCTTGGAGGTCCCGGGCCGCAGAGAGGTTAGGCTGGCCTCAACCAGAGCCAGGGCTTTCTCGGCTGTGGCCCCAACTTGGTGGAACGCTCTACCACAAGAGACTAGGGCCCTGCGGGACTTGACATCTTCCTGCAGGGCCTGCAAGACAGAGCTGTTCCACCAGGCCTTTGGCCAAGGCACAGCCTGACCCCAACCCTTGGCAATCCTCACAGAACTCTAGCCCAATGGTTGGAGGGTCTGCTATCAGCAACTGTTGGGGTAACAGGATCCTTGCTGCGGGAATGACATTTCCCCCACCTCAGGGCTCCTCCACATTTTACTCTAAAGCGGGTGTGAATCCTCAGTTTTCTTCAGATTGAGTCACTGTAGTCCCCACATGTGTGCATTAGGTTTTTTTTTTTTTATAATGATATTTATTAAAATTTCAAAAAATACATGAAAATACAAAATAGAAAAAAAAGTATAAAGTTTTAAGATATAACAAAAAAAGTAGAAAATAAGGAAAAACATACAAAATAAAACAGTTAAAAGCACAATAATTTTCCATAACCTATCTTCCTTGCTCTTATTTCCCGGACCTCCTCATACCTCCCTTCTTTGTATTCCAGTTCAGTTTGTTGGTTCAGCAAATCCTTACCAGTAATCTTTTACCCAATTGTTAACCTTTTTTTTTCATATCTCTTAAAAGCATTACAGCTAAAAACCTCTTAGTTTCTATCCGACATCCTTCTAAAATTCCTTAATTTTGCAATATTTCTGTAAATAGTCTTTAAATTTCTTCCAGTCTTCTTTCACCGACTCTTCTCCCTGGTCTCGGATTCTGCCAGTCATTTCCGCCAATTCCATGTAGTCAATCACCTTCATCTGCCATTCTTCCAAAGTGGGTAGATCTTGTGTCTTCCAATACTTTGCGATAAGTATTCTTGCTGCTGTTGTAGCATACATGAAAAAGGTTCTGTCCTTCTTTGGCACCAGTTGGCCGACAATGCCCAAAAGAAAGGCCTCTGGTTTCTTCAGAAAGGTATATTTAAATACCTTTTTCAGTTCATTATATATCATTTCCCAGAAAGCCTTGATCTTTGGGCACGTCCACCAAAGGTGAAAGAATGTACCTTCAGTTTCTTTACATTTCCAACATTTATTATCGGGCAAATGATAAATTTTTGCAAGCTTGACTGGGGTCATGTACCACCTGTATATCATTTTCATAATATTCTCTCTTAAGGCATTACATGCCGTAAACCTCATACCTGTGGTCCATAACTGTTCCCAGTCAGCGAACATAATATTATGTCCAACATCTTGTGCCCATTTAATCATAGCAGATTTCACCGTTTCATCCTGAGTATTCCATTTCAACAGCAAGTTATACATTCTTGACAAATTTTTAGTTTTGGGTTCTAACAATTCTGTTTCTAATTTTGACTTTTCCACTTGGAAGCCTATTTTCTTATCCAAATTATATGCCTCCATTATCTGATAGTAATGAAGCCAATCTCTCACTTTATTTTTTAATTTTTCAAAACTCTGCAATCTCAATTTATCTCCTTCTTGCTCCAAAATTTCCCAATATGTCGGCCATTTGGCCTCCATATTGAGCCTTTTCAGAGCTTTTGCTTCCATTGGTGACAGCCACCTTGGGGTCTTATTTTCCAATAAATCTTTGTATCTTATCCAAACATTAAACAATGCTTTCCTAACAATATGATTTTTGAATGCTTTGTGTGCTTTGACCTTATCATACCATAAGTATGCATGCCATCCAAATACATTGTTAAAACCTTCTAAATCCAAAATGTCTGTGTTTTCAAGAAGTAGCCATTCTTTCAGCCAGCAAAAAGCTGCTGATTCATAATAAAGTTTAAGGTCTGGCAGGGCAAATCCACCTCTTTCCTTGGCATCAGTTAATATCTTAAATTTTATTCTGGGCTTCTTGCCCTGCCAGACAAATCTAGAAATATCTCTCTGCCACTTCTTGAAACAGTCCATCTTATCTACAATTTGTAATGTCTGAAACAAAAACAACATTCTAGGCAATACATTCATCTTTATCACAGCAATACGGCCCAGCAGCGAGAGTTTCAAATTTGACCAAATTTCTAAATCTTTTTTCACTTCCGTCCAACATTTTTCGTAATTATCTTTAAATAAGTTCCCATTTTTGGCTGTCATATTAATCCCCAAGTATTTCACTTTCTTTACCACATTCAATCCTGTCTCATTCTGAAACCTCTCTCTTTCAATCAGTGTTAAATTTTTCTCTAAAACCTTAGTTTTTAACTTGTTCAATTTAAAACCTGCCACCTGACCAAATTCCTGAATTAATTCTAAAACTCTTTTAGTACTAGATTCTGGCTCCTGTAGCGTCAATACTAGATCATCTGCAAATGCTCTCAGTTTGTACTGTTTAGCTCCGACCTGTATGCCCTTAACCAACCGGTCCTTTCTAATCATGTTTAGCAAAACCTCCAGGACCGATATAAAAAGCAGTGGGGAAATTGGGCACCCCTGTCGTGTCCCTTTTTCTATCTTAAATTCTTCCGTGACCACATTATTTACAATTAATTTAGCCTTTTGTTCAGAGTATATTGCACCTATACCATTTTCAAAGCCTTGGCCTACCCCCATCCCATGCAAGTTCTTCTTCATAAAACTCCAAGAGATATTATCAAAAGCTTTCTCCGCGTCGACAAATATCAATACTGCTTTAGTGTTTATATTCACTTCTAGTTTTTCCAAAATATCAATTATATTCCTCAAATTATCGGACAAGTGTCTTCCCGGGAGAAAGCCCGCTTGGTCTTTATGAATCTCTTTCATCAATACTTTTTTCAATCTCTTGGCCAAAATGTCTGCAAAAATTTTGTAATCCACATTAAGTAACGATATAGGGCGGTAGTTCTTAAGCTGAGTCTTTTCAGTCTCTGTTTTCGGTATAAGTGTGATATACGCCTCTTTCCACGATTCTGGTGCCCTTTTCCTCCAATATTTCATTGCAGACTTCCTTCAAAGGTTGCAATAACCACTCTTTCAGAGATCTATAGTATCTGGAAGTCAGCCCATCCGGTCCTGGAGATTTGCCCAGTTGCATATTTTGTATGGCACCTTCTACTTCCTGTTCAGATATTTTATAGTTCAGCATTAATTTACTTTCTTGAGAGATTTTTGTAGGCCATTTGTCTTCAAAAATTGGTCTATGTCCATTTCCTTCTGTGGCCCTTGTGTGTATAATTGTTTAAAGTACCTCTGGAAGCAATTTCTGATCTCATTTGGATTATGTATACTCTTTCCTTCCACTTCTAGGTTTATAATGGTATTTAATTTTTGTCTTTTTTCATTTGCCAGGCCAACAGTTTTCCACATTTATTAGCTGATTCAAATGTTTTTTGTCTCATTTGTTTGATTTTCCATTCTATTTCCTGATTCATCATTTCCATATATTGTACTTGATATAATTTTATTTCTCTCAAAATCTCCTGGGACTTTGGTTTTGCTCTCAATTTCTTCTCACCTTCTTTTATTTTTTCCAAGATTTTGTCTTTCTTTTCATTTTGACTTCTCTTCTTTATTGCATTCTGTTGTATCAAAAACCCTCTCATCACAGCTTTGCTTGCGTCCCAGATTACTCTTTTTTCTACATTAGTGTTCATGTTTATTTCAAAATAATCTCTCAAAGTTTTTTGGGCCTTTTTGTAAACTTCTTCATCTCTAAATAAGGTGTCATTCATCCTCCATCTAAAGGATCCGGTTGTTGTTTGTTTCATCTCCATCCTTACAGCATTGTGGTCGGAACAAGTTTTTGGGCAGATTTCTACTTTCTTTATCTTTGGTGCCATTCCTCTAGTTATCCATATTTGGTCAATTCTAGTCCATGTCATCTTGGCTTCAGAAAAGAAGGTTCCTTCTCTTACAAGGGGTTCTTTACCCTCCAGATGTCCACTAAGTCCATATTGTCTATCATCTCAAAAAATGTTTTCGGTAGTCTACCATCCTTGGTGACTACCTGTCTTTGTGCCTTGTCCATATTTGTAGATACTACTCCATTCATGTCCCCCATCAAAATCAAATTGTAATCCAAATGATCCAGTAAAGTCTCATGCAACTTTTTATAGAATTCAGATTTCCCCTCGTTCGGTGCATAAATTCCCACAATTAAAAATTTCTCTCCTTGTAGTTGAATTTCAATTGCCAAAAATCTTCCTTGGTCATCTTTAAAAATAAGTTTCGGTAAAAGTCTCTCCTTTGCATAAATCACAACTCCTCTTTTTTTGACTTTGTCAGATGAAACAAACTCCTGTCCTAATCTCTTATTAATCAATAACTTCCTATGTGCCCTTGTTATATGTGTCTCTTGTAGGCAAATCAAGTCCAATTGTTCTTTTTTTAATAGATGAAACACACTTTTTCTTTTCCGAGGAGAATTCAAACCGTTACAATTCCAGCTTAATAGTTGCAGAGCCATGATGGGGGCTACTTCACTTTACCTCCAACTGCCCCGAGTGCCGATTCTTGTTCTGTGGGTAGTATCACTTTTCTGGACCGTGCAGTCCAAAGGATAAATTTGATATGTCTAGTATGCCTTTTGGTTCTTCTTCAGATTCCCCTTCTTTCAGTAGGTCTTCCTCGTGGTCTTTCAAGAATCTGTCTTTTTCCTCAATTGATTTTATTTTTATCTTTCTTCCTTTATATTTAAAGGACAGGCCTTGAAGAAATTCCCACCTGAAAAGAATTCTATTTCTTTTCAACAAAGTCACTAGGTCTCCGTAATTAGACCTTAAGTCCAACAGATGCTTTGGGATGTCCTTAAAAATCACTAAACTTGAATCATCAATTTCCAAAGTTTTTTGATAGTGCAGATTCAGAATTTTATCTCTCTCTTCTTTTGTTCGAAAGGTAATCAAACAGTCTCTCACCTTGCCCTTACCTTGTCTTCTTCCGAGCCTAAATGCGTTCACTATCTTAAATTCTTGATTCCCGGGGTCCAATTGCCAAAAATCTGTAAATTCCTGTGTAAGAAAATCAGCCAGATTATCTTTCTCCCGGTCTGGAACAGCCCTGATTCTCAGATTTCTTTGTCTATCTTTTAATTCGATCATAGAAAATGTCACATCGTGGTCCTCCAATTTCTTGTATACAGGTGGAATTTTCTCTTGAGTAGCAATTGCAATATCTTTTGCTTCCTCTGCAGTCTGTCGAATCGAGGCAGATTCCTGTAGTAATTTTTCAATAGTCTCTGTATTGGCATTCACCTTCTGTCCCAAGGTATTAATACTTGCAGTATTTAAATCAATTTTATTTGATGCTTCCACAACTTGTCTATTTGTCTCGACTACTTGTCTATTTGTTTCAGCTACTTGTCTGTTTGTCTCAGTTACCTGTTTACTTAGGCTTTCCAAAGATTCATTAATTTTTGCCAGTGCCTGTGCCAAAACTTCTTCTGACGACATAACTTTTGGTTTAGACTGTGGGAGTGGGACCCCTGATGCTCCAGATGCTCCAGATGTTGAGCCCCTTCGCGGCAACGCAGTGTCTATCCGATAATGTCTGCCAGACCAAGTAGATTTTTCCTGAGGTTCTAACTTCCCCTTATCATCTGCCATAACAGTCTCATAGAAATTCAAGGTCACTCCCACAGTCAGTCAGTTGTTTTGAAATAGAATGGAATTTTCCTCTTTGTAACTGTTGTTGTAACAATATCCAACCTCCTCTAGGGGGACACAGTAACAGTCAGAACTTGTAACTTTTAGAAACAAAAATAGTCTTTATAAGTCCCCCAATTTACTTTAAAAGTCCACAGTCTCAATGCACTTAAACAGTTACTTTCAAGCCAAAAGAGGTTCAGAAACACTGTATCCCTTTTGCAGAGTTGGCTGTCAGAAATAGACTTTCCACTATGCACCTTTATCTTAAGGCAGTCCGTTCCAAATCTTAAACTGTAAATTTTTCCTTCCTCTCCCCTTCTTTACTGCAGGGAAATTCAGCTCAGTCTTTTTCCCCCTCCTCTCCTGCAATCCGGAGGGGGAACCACTTTCAAGATGTTAGAATTTAGCTCTTTTTCAAGTAACTTTCTGAGTTTCCGCTTTAAAGTCTCTTTGCTTTGATCTATTTACAATTCAGGGAAGGCAGACTTCCTGGTTGTACCTTCCCAGCTCCGTACCAAATTAACTTTTTTTTTCCCTTTAAGTCCAATTTAATCCTACTCACGGGTAGTTGTTTTCAGAGTCCGATTATCCCAGGAAAAAGGCAGCGCTCTCCGGTAACAGCTTCGCGGCTTCGCTCCACGGAAGAAGCAATTTGCTCACAGCACCACGCCACCCCCGCTCCGCTCCAGAGCCCGTTGCCGAGCTCCTTTAGCAATTGGGGGGGGCGCAAACGGTGCCCGCTGAGTCCCACGGTCACAGGCTTCACCCGCCTGTGATTTATTTGGGGGTCCCCGCTGCGCCGTAGCGACAGGACCCAAATTCCGTAAAGCCAGTTCTCTCCGAGTTAGAGAGAAGCAGCCATTACCGATGGCGCCACCTCCGGAAGTCCGCCACCTCCGGAAGTCTGTGCATTAGGTTTTGTAAAACGGTTTGAACCAGCTTTTTTGTGTTGATACTGATTTCCAATTCCCCGTTTTGATCTGGGCTATGTCTTCTTGTTTCCAGCTCTTTATTTGGTTAATAACCCTTAAACACCCACCCACCCACCCATGGAAGTATGCTGTCTCTCTGTTTGGTGCTGTGAACAATATTTCGGTGACTTACGCTGATATCAAAGTGCAGCAACTGTCAAAATTTGAGGCATGGTGCTGTTTACCGTTGCAGGCCTGTTTAGCATTTGCCGCTTGGCAGGGCCAGCTCAAAACATCTTGCCAACAGAGGCAAAATGCCTCACCCCCACAGATCCGGGTCCCCGCCTCAGCCCCATCACTACAACTGCACCCTCACCTGTGGCTGCACCCGTGCTGCAAGAGTGCCGTGGTGAGGGTGCAGTGGCAGGGGTGAGGGCAACAGGGCTGCGTTGGCAGTGCGGGTGAAGCCCCTCAGGGCTGGGACCAGCACATAGGTGGGGATGGGGTGGAGGACAGATCCATCACCCACCGAGACCACATAACACCAGTCTTGAAAGACCTATATTGGCTCCCGGTACGTTTCCAAGCACAATTCAAAGTGTTGGTGCTGACCTTTAAAGCCCTAAATGGCCTCGGCCCAGTATAGCTGAAGGAGCGTCTCTACCCCCATCGTTCTGCCCGGACGCTGAGGTCCAGCGCCGAGGGCCTTCTGGCAGTTCCCTCGCTGCGAGAAGCCAAGTTACAGGGAACCAGGCAGAGGGACTTCTCGGTAGTGGCGCCTGCCCTGTGGAATGCTCTCCCTTCAGATGTCAAAGAGAAAAACAACTACCTGACATTCAGAAGACATCTTAAGGCAGCCCTCTTCAGGGAAGTTTTTAATGTATGACATATTAGTGTATTTTTGGTCTTTGTGGAAGCTGCCCAGAGTGGCTGGGGAAACCCAGCCAAATGGTCAGGGTACAAATAATAAATTATTATTATTATTATTATTATTATTATTATTATTATTATCACCTGAAACAAATGGCTTCACCTCGCCCCATGCATGGGGCCACCCCTGCTGCTTGGTAACAGCTTCTGAAAGGAGACAGAGAGATTATTGTACTTTTGATTTTTTTAAAAAAATACTTATTATCAGTGCTTTTTTTCTGGGGGAATGCAGAAATACGCATACCCCTAAACATTTTGTGAATCTTTGTACTTTTGTCCGTTTACTGTATTTATTTTCCCTGATTTGAACTATAAAATGGTGGTTAAATATAAGCACTGCTTATTATTAAACGTTTTCTTAGTTTACAAAAGTACCTGTTTTGCCTCTTTTAATGTTTTTAGACAAGACTTGGACCAGGTAAATTCATTTTAAACTATGTCAGTGAAGCAACGTATTCCGATTAGCTGTCAGTTGGGAGTAGACTGAAAGGTGAGGAGAAATAATGCCAGTTGGTAAAGTCAGTGAGGGAGGGAGGTGTGAGGAAAACACTTCCAAAATCTGAGGTAAAAATGGGTATCTGAGGCCTGAATATCAAGCTGTTCTTCCCGATTATGTTAATACTGTAATGGTTTGCTGGTGAATATCAGAAGAAGGGAGCTGGTGTCTGTGTTAGGCCAAGATGCAGCCCAGATAAAGATTTTGACAGAAAAAAGTGGAAGAAGTGTGTCACTTCTGCTCATCCTGTATATTTGTAAATAAATGCAACTATTACAAAAACGCTGTAAGCCTGAAGGCACCTTCTTCCAAAGGAAGCTGAAATTAGGGAAGCACTGAACCTTTGGATCTTCTCAGTGCTTGGGGGAATACAGTGCAAAAAAGAGAAATATCTCACAGATTCCAAGAACCACAGGTTATTTTTTTTTTGGCAGTATGCTTAATTTGCAAAGGACTCTTCCTTTTTCCTGGCATCTCTGAGGTATTTTTTTGCACCTTATTCTTGGATGCTTCCTGGTTTTGTGGTTTTGGGAGGAATAGGACAATTGCAACAATATATTCTGTTTTGAAAGCAAATAGCTTCAAAATCTTTCTGTCCTTAAAAATGCTGATAGAAATCCCATTGCCACATATTTTTGTCTAAAGAAAGCAGGGACTCCCTAATGTTTGCATAGGAGGAATTTGGGCAGGTGTGTTTACTTACATCCCTGCATGATAATATGTTTCTCCCAAATTCCCTCCTCTGCACAATGAGTAAATATACAAGTGTCCTGGTCTCTTTTGCAGCTTGCCTTCATTATCTTATCATATCAATCTTCTTCTCCCCATTCCTTGGCCTCCATAATTTGAATTTGTGCCTTAACATTATGTCCATTCATTTTAATGACTTTATTTGTTTTGTGGGGGCAGCTTTGCAGCTGGAACCTGAAAAGGAAAAAATTGTGCTGAACAATGGTGGATGCAGTGCCTCAACAGACAAGTTTCAGGCTTTCCTAAGACTCAACTTCTGCAATCAAAATCAGAATAGGTCCTCAGGTAGAATTGATATATTGTACTGCTGTCTCTTTTAAGCATAGCAATTGTATGTAAGAACTTGCTTTCAGTTCACATCTATGTTGTTTTGAGGCATAAAAGCTTCTGCAAAGAAACTCATTCATTGTGGGTGAATCATAGACTTATAGAATTGTAGAGCTGAGGGGAACCCAACAGTCTCCTTGCAATGCAGGAATCTCAGCTAAAGCATCCATGGCAGATGGCCATCCAGCCTCTGCTTAAAAACCTCCAGGGAAGGAGAGTCCACAACCTCCCAGGGGAGACCGTTCCACTGTCAAACAGTTTCTACTGTTGTTTTTCCAGATATTTAGTCAGAGTCTCTTTCCTTGCAACTTGAATCCATTGTTTCAGGTCCAACCCTACTGAGCAGGAAAAAAACAGGCTTGCTCCATCTCCTGTGTGGCAGCACACATTCCAGCTTGTCAAAATCCTTCTTAAATTGTGGCACCTAGAATTGGACACATGACTCCAGGTGGTGTTCTCATAGCTTGGTGGTAGAGTCCCAGATTCCATACCTGGTGTCTCAAACTGCTGCTGGTCAGTGTAGACAAAATTTGAGCTAGAGGAACCCAATGATCTCCCTAAGAATAGGGCCGCTCCCTATGGTCCTGAATTATCAAGCATCAGTAGTTTCATTCTAGAGCTAACTTCACACTCAACTCCAGCCATTGCCTTTCTCACTAAGAGCCAGGTGAGGGAAGGGAGACCCATACATTTTCCCTCTGGCACAAAGCCACTTCCTTTGCTATACCAAGGACAGCATTTAAGGCTATTAATATGGAATAGTTAATATGGAATCCTCCATTAGATTTTAACCTTTTCTGGATCCAGGGCACCAGGAATTATTAGGGACTCAGGTATAATGGAGACTGACAGCCCCCCCAAAAAACCCCACCTCTCCACAGTATTGTCAACACGGAGCTACCATGAGACAGACTGTGGCGACCAACTTGGACATGTAAGGCTGCAATTTGTCTTGTAAACTCCATCTCCATCTTTGTCCTCTAGAGGGCTCCAGTTTCCTCTCTCTGAACTCATTACAGCATTAAATATTAAAAACTTCCCTGAACAGGGCTGCCTTCAGATGTCTTTTGTAGACAGGATAGCTGCTTATTTCCTTCACATCTGAAGGGAGGGTGCTCCACAGGGTGGGTGCCACTACCAAGAAGACCCTCTGCCTGGTCCCTGTTACCTCACTTCTTACAGCGAGGGAACCGCCAGAAGGCCCTCGGACCTGGACCTTGGTGTCCGGGCTGGATGATGGGGGTGGAGACGCTCCTTCGGGTATATTGGGCCAAGGCCATTTAGGACTTTAAAGGTCAGCACCAGCACTTTGAATTGTGCTCGGAAATGTACTGGGAGCCAATGCAGATCTCTCAGGACCGGTGTTATGTGGTCCCGGCGGCCAGTCCCAGTCACCAGTCTAGCTGCCGCATTCTGGATTAATTGCAGTTTCTGGGTCTCCTTCAAAGGTAGCCCCACGTAGAGCGCATTGCAGTAGTCCAAGCGGGAGATAACTAGAGCATGCACCACTCTGACAGTCCGCAGGCAGGTAGGGTCTTAGCCAGCATACCAGATGGAGCTGGTAGACAGCCGCCCTGGACACAGAATTAACCTGCGCCTCCATGGGCAGCTGAGAGTCCAAAATGACTCCCAGGCTGCACACCTGGTCCTTCAGGGGCACAGTTACCCCATTCAGGACCAGGGAATCCTCCACACCCGCCCGCCCCCTGTCCCCCCAAAACAGTACTTTTTTGAATGCCTTGTCAGGATTCAACCTCAATCTGTTAGCCGCCATCCATCCTCCAACCGCCTGCAGACACTCACAAAGGACCTTCACCGCCTTCACTTCCCAAGCTGTGCAGGTCTTCATACACCAAACCTCTTAGCCTGCTAGCAAATTGTCAGCTTTCTGTGTATTCCTTTCACAATACTGCAGACCTCCCACTAGATGGCAGCTGTTGGTACTTTTTCTGTTGATACTTTTTCTGTCTCCAAAGTTCCAAGCAGCTCCTCCGTGAGAAATCATGCCATTGCATTACTTTCTTAGATATTGGGCACCAATATCCGTTTGCGAAGCTGGTGAAGGCGAGGGTTGTGCTCCTTCTTTGTTCTTCTGAATTCCCTCTAAGGATATTTCCATCGACTAGCATCTCTTGGTTTCAAAAGAGGAAGAGACGTTTTTCTACTGCGTGATTTTTGCAATGCTTACAAGACTCCTCCTGATGGATTCTGAACGGCAAGCGGCCTTCTCCCTTGAGGCGAATAGAGCTTTGCTTTGTAAAAGGGGAGCTGTCACCTAAACCTTTGGTGAGGCGTCGGGACAGACCAGGTAAGGGAGCAAATGGAAACTTTTATTATAACCTCACAATTCTCACAATTCTCCCTGGATAGGACCTAGCACTGAGTCTTCCGTGTGTTTTGCTGTTATTGTTAAAATTCAAAAGGAAGCCCGGTTACTAGAGATTAATGTACTATCATACCATTCTGAAAAACAAAAATTATGTTAGCAGGTTTGTAGTAAAGGATACATTTGCAAAGCTTCTTTTCTATTATATTCATTTGATTTCATTTCCTTCTTTCCTCATATGCCTTTTTTGTTTTCCTGATCGTTGTCCGATATGAAACTCAATGATCCCAGGCAGTGTTTTTTTCCTATAAAACAATTTTTTTAGGGATACTCCCATTTTCCTACTCATATTGAAATACTGCCCCTCAATGAGGCCACACTTAGACTCACAAAATGTTTAGGGGTATGCGTCCCCTTGCGTCCCTCCAGGAAAAAAGCACTGATCCCAGGGCATTGTTCCCTGAAATTGTGTGGTGGCTGGTTGCCCTGATACAATACAATAAAAAGGAGCTGAAACAATGAGTAGAGAGTTACGCCTTTGATCGCCTTTCCACATTTGTTTCATTTTCTAGTCGCCAGCCTGTTGACCCTGTTTTATTTTATGCCAAATCCTCAAGGCCCCACTGATGGGAAAAGATACTTTCGGTTCTTGTAACACAGCTGCTGCCCTGCTGTAACCCCTAAACACTGCACATGATTTAAGGTTCATCTTGTGTTTGCCAAACTTGCCATATAAATAAACTCTTCCTTTGAAGCAGAGAAACAATGCTTTTATTAATTTGTTTGTTTATTTATTTAAACCCTACCTTTCTGCGTTGCGGGACTCAAGGTGGCTTATAGATAATTAAAAAAAGAACTGCTAAAAACATAGAAAAAGCAATCATTAAAAACAATTAAGAATTGATAGGATTAAAGCTATCTATCTATATATACACACACAGGGGCACCATCAGGGTGGCCAAGGGGCCAAGGAGAGGACTTGGCCCCCTCAATATCCTGCAGGGATGTTTGCACATCAGGTGCGCACCACACATGCAAGTTGTGTGGTGTGTGTGTGTGTGTGTGACATGTCAGCATGTTGCAGCATGCACATGTGACATGACCACATTGTGGGTGCTAGCCCCCTCAAGTGTGTGTGTGTGTGTGTGTCCCCAGAAAAAAGCACTGTATATTTTTGTGTGTGTGTGTGTGTGTGTTAATAAAAATTAAAATAGCACAATACCAGCCTTTCATTAGAAGCAATCAGTTTTCCAAAGCCTGTTGGAACAAGAAAGTCTTCACCTGCCAGCAGAAGGACAACGTGGAGGGAGCTAGTCTGGCTTCTCTAGGGAGGGAGTTCTGGGAGCAGCCACCAAGAAGGCCCTCTCCTGCATCCCCACCAGGTGGGGCTAAGGATGCAGTTCCACAGTGGGAGGGGAGAAAACAGAAACTGAAGACCAACCACAGGCATAGGCAAACTCGGCCCTCAAGATGTTTTGGGACTACAATTCCCATCATCTCTGACCACTGGTCCTGTTAGCTAGGGATGGTGGGAGTTGTAGTCCCAAAACAGCTGGAGGTCCGAGTTTGCCTATGCCTGACCTACCATCTCTCCCAACGCCCCAAGGTCCCCCAAGTATTAGTACTGGAATCCATGTTTTTTTTTAAGTGATTTAGAGTTAGGTGTGAGCAGGGAGATAGCCAGCTTTGCTGATGACACCAAATTGGTAGGGTGGCTAGAAGAAATAGGGATTCTATGGAGATCCAAAACTGGGCAAACTGCATTTTCCATTTTAATGCTCATGCAGTGTAGGCTAAAGCAGAAGATCCTAATTTCACAAATATGCTAACGGGGTCTGAACTGGTGGTGACTCACTAGGAACAAGACCGTGGGTTCCTGGTGGAGAGCTTGATGAAGATGTCGGCCCAGTGTGCTGAAGCTGTGAGAAAAGTGAATTCCATGCTAGGGATCATTAGAAAAAGGACTGGACATAAAACAGTCTATATCAGGGATTGGACGGTATTCTCAAAGCTACAAACATGAGTCTGACCAAACTGCGGGAGGCAGTGGAAGACAGGAGTGCCTGGCGTGCTCTGGTCCATGGAGTCACGAAGAGTCGGACACGACTAAACAACAAACAATATCAGGGGTTGTCAACCTGGTCCCTACTGCCCACTAGTGAGTGTTTCAGGATTCTAGGTGGGCGGTAGCTGAATCCTTCTTCCATCGAGCGCCGGTGGGCGGTAAGGAAATTTTACCCTCAAGAAAGATGCATTAGTGGGCGGTAGGTATAAAAAGGTTGACTACCCCTGGTCTATATAATGAGTTGTACAAATATGTGCTGCAAGTGCACTTGGAATAATATGTACAGTTCTGGATGCCTCCTCTAAAAAAGGGATGTTATATATCTAGAAAAAATTCTTCAAAAAGAGCCAAAACGTTTTGGTTTTTTTGCCCCCCCCCCAAAAAAATTGCATTGATTTTCAAATTTTTACAAATTGGTCTGTCTATTTATTTATTTATTTATTCCCCAGCCACTCTGGGTGGCTTCCAACAAGAAATTAAAAATATATTAAAACATCAGTCATTTAAAAACAAGTTGAATGAATACAACATAAAAACAAGATTAAAATACAACATTAAAATATTGAAACATTAAAATATTAAAATGCAGCCTCATCACAGGAGGAGAAAGGAAAAAGAAAAAAGAAAAAAGAAAGAGGGGGAAGGAATCAAATTGGCTCCAAGCCAAAGGCCAGGCGGAACAACTCTGTCTTACAGGCCCTGCGGAAAGAAATCAGATCCTGCAGGGCCCTGGTCATATGAGACAGAGCTTTCCACCAGGCCAGAGCCAGTGTTGAAAAGGCCCTGGCTCTGGTTGAAGCTAATCTAACTTCCTTAGGGCCTGGGACCACTAGAGTGCTGCTATTTATGGACCTTGAGGCTCTCTGTGGGGCATACCGGGAGACGCAGTCCTGTAGATACGAGGGTCCTAGGCCGTGAAGGGCTTTAAAGGTCAAAACCAGCACCTTAAATCTGACCCTGTACTCCACCGGGAGCCAGTGCAGCTGGAAAAGCACTGGGTGAATATGCTCCCATGGCAGAGACCCCGTGAGGAGCCTCGCTGCAGCATTCTGCACCCGCTGGAGTTTCTGGGACAGCTTCAAGGGCAGCCCCGCGTAGAGCGAATTACAGTAGTCAAGCCTGGAGGTGACCATTGCATGGATCACTGTGGCCAGGTTGGGGCGGGAAAGGTAAGGGACCAACTGACTGATGCGGCGAAGGTGGAAAAATGTCGCCTTGGCTGTTGCTGTAACCTGCGCCTCCATGGAAAGGGAGGCGTCAAGGATTACACCCAAACTCTTAACGGAAGGCAATGGTGCTAATTGTGAAGGACCTTTCTTTCTAGCCTTATCTGATACTAGGAGCATCAGGGACACTGCAAGAGTCAAATGACAGCAGGAAAAAAGATTTTTTATTTTGTGAAGCAATTGCTTGGACACAAAGGCACAGACCAGCTCATGCTCGGAGTCTGCCCACCTCTTTTGGGCGGGCCAGCCTTTTTATACCCTTTAGAATGCAAGAAAACACATGTTTTACAAGAAATGGCATCAAATTTAGCTATCGGGACTCCTACACTATGCTTGGGTTTTCACATGTTGCTTATGCTTATGCTTCTCTGCTTCTTTGACAGTCATATATGGACATGTGTGGTTGTCTTCATATGTGAGCTGTGACAGTTAAAAGGTTTCTAGATGAGTCTGTTGTCACCCACAATCAGAAATAGCGAGAGGGAGAACTAAGTCATTGTGAAACGGAAAATCCGCCCCACTTCACAGTGGGGAAGAGATGTGGTGGACCGCGTGGCTACCCACTCTACTTTGGGGGCAGGGGACTTAGTCCCCTGTTGCCTGGGGGATCCCGGCCATGTCAGTGACCGGCCAGCCAATCCTGACGGGAACACCAGGGGAAGCTCGTGTTGGTATGCATCAACAGGGCTCCCCCTTCCAGTGGTTTACCCTTACTGGACTCTCTGTGCATCAGGCAGGAGTCAGATATAGTCAGGTCCATTCAATGCCTAAGCCAATACCGCTCACATTCTGTAATCAATAAAGTTGTGGCCAAAATTTGCCCAATAACATTAACCTAATATCTGTGTCCTTGTGTGAGTTTTTTCTCAATGCAGGTGTGGCTTTAGGGTCTTGACACGCAACTTGACTAGCTTAGTTCTCTATTTTGGTAGTTATTCATTAATTGAGGTGTTTTAATTCATTTATATGCCACGTTTCTGAATGTAAAAACAAACAAACTTCTAATGCAACTTACATATTAAAAGAAAGTATATAAACGATGCCAGTATAACCAACCTTGAAAATACAAATAAATCAATTAAATAACAGATTGTTCATTAAAAAAAAATCAGAAGTAAAAGGTCCCCACATCTGAATAATGTTGCCTATCTAAAAGCCACCTGAAAACATTTTCACGGGTTGCTGAAATGGTTTGAATGTGGTGGACTTGCCGACATCAACAGGTGAGGCGTTCCAGAGCTGTGCAGGAAAAAAAATTCCTCTTCTTCCCACCAATCTCACTGTCTTTGGTGACAGGAAAACGAGAATGGTCTCTGTGTAGATCTTTGAGAGCAGACAGGACAATGAGGGTTGAAGGGGTCTTTCAGATGACTTGGGCCTTGACTCCCCTGATATACCCAGTCTAAAAGAACTCCCAAGCTGTGGACATGATCTTTCTGTGGAAGGTGGGAGTCACCCCATCTTGGACCAGCTGTAAACCAGCTGGGAGTTGGATGTGATGGTTTGTACTTGGTGCTGGGAGGCAAACACAGGACTGGGATCTCATTGGTAGACCATCCACACCACAGCTCAACTACCTCCCTGAGTTGCCAGGGGCAGTCCCTGGCATGGTGTTGGAAAAGCCAAGGACATTAGTTCTGGGGGCTTCAGTATCCATGTTGATGCTGCCTTGGCTAGGCCAGCTCTGGAGTTCATGGCAGTCGTGACAACCACAGCGCTGTCTCAATGCATCATCCACCCAGTGCATAATGCAGGTCATCCCCACTAGATCTACTTTTTACTACAGAGGGTATTAGAAGTAATAATAATAATAATAATAATAATAATAATAATAATAATAATATATTTTTATACCCTGCCCATCAGGCTGGGTTTCCCCAGCCACTCTGCGCAGCTTCCATCAAAAGATTAAAAATACATTAAAACATCAGTCATTCAAAACTTCCCTAAACAGGGCTGCCTTCAGATGTCTTCTAAACCTTAGATAGTTGTTGAATGCTTTGGCATCTGATGGGAGGGTGTTCCACCTGTTCTCCTGGACAGGTGTTTGTGTGAATATTACCCTGTTGTCACAGAAAAATATCTCCCTGGTTTCACTGTGTAATGTTCAGATGGAAAGCACCGTCAATACGATCATGCCTAAGCACCTCTCTGGCCAGGGGAGTCCAGGAGGCTCCTTGCTCTACTGAGGAGCTCTAGCTTCTTAAAGAGGCTGGACATCAGCTAGAGTGTGGGTGATGCAAGTATTGGTGTGAATCTGACCTAACAGAGGTACGAGTACACAGACATTCTTTCATAGACAATGTGACACTGGCCCTGTATGCACTGGCTGCCAGTGAGCTATTGGGCCCAATTAACGGTGTTAGCACTGGTCTATGAAGCCCTAAATGACTTGGGATCCAAGTACCTAAC